GTGTAAAACTACATGCAGTTGACTGGAGCTGTTTGTCAACCATGAGTGTAGACGCGGGTTACAAGTGGTTTAGGAGCAAACTTGAATCGCTGATGAGTGAGTGCATACCCAAAGCCAGAAACGTCAAGTCTAAAAAGAACGTTTACATGAATAGCCGTTCACTAAATCTCAAGAAGAAGAAGAAGGTACTGTGGTCAGTGTACATGAGAACGCAAGACCCCATCGACTATAGCAGATATAAGATTTGCAGAAATAAGCTTAGGACATTGACTCGCCAGTTAAGGAAAGATTTTGAAGCTAAGATATCAGCAAACATGAAAGAAAACCCGAAGGCTTTTTGGAAATATGTGAACAGCCGCCGTAAAGTTAAATCAAGTATTGGTGATCTAAGAAACGACCAGGGCCAGCTTGTTAGCGAGGAAAAAGAGAAGGCCTCGCTCGCTCCTGAATGACGTCTTCTCAGGCGCATTCACTATTGAAAAAACGGATGTCGTGCCACAACTAGCAAACCGTTACACAGGGCCGCCGCTGATCGATATACCAGTTAACCTTTTCACAGTGAAGCAAAAGCTTAAAGCACTGAACCCCAATAGTGCCCCAGGAGCTGATGACATTCACCCCCGCGTTTTAAGGGAATTGAGTGGTCCTCTCTCCCTTTCCTTGACCTTACTGTTCCGAAAATCGCTTGAAACTGGGTCTATTCCTGCAGACTGGAAGCACGGTAAAGTCATACCAATCTTTAAGAAAGGTGAAAAGGAAGACCCAAGAAACTATAGACCTGTCAGCCTCACATCTGTTCCCTGTAAGATTCTCGAGTCGCTCATTCGTGATTGTTTAATGGACCATTTGCTGTCAAATGACCTGCTGTCCAAGGACCAACATGGCTTCCGCCCGAAGCGATCTTGTGATACGCAACTGCTTGACTCTATAGACTCATGGAGCCGCCTGTTGGAGGACAAGACGGAGGTCGAAGTGATTTACCTTGACTTCCGAAAGGCGTTCGACTCCGTCCCACACAAGAGACTGATAGGCAAGCTGCGCTGTTATGGTATTGGTGACCGAGTGTTGTCTTGGATTGAATCATTCCTGGAAGACAGAATGCAGCAAGTGTCCCTATATGGAAACCTGTCAGATTTGGTCCCTGTGCGCAGTGGTGTGCCCCAAGGCTCAGTGTTGGGCCCATTGCTCTTCTTGCTCTATGTCAATGACTTGCCAGATGCTGTCACTTCAAATGTGCGAATGTTCGCAGATGACACAAAGCTGTTCTCAGGCATCTCTTCTGAACATGATGTGCGGACATTGCAGGCAGACCTGAACGCCCTCGTGGAATGGTCTAGAACTTGGCAGCTGCCATTTAACGAGAATAAGTGCAAAGTGCTTCATGTTGGTGCAGCCAAGGACCACCACTCATTTCAAATGGGGTCGGACAGACTGACAAACACGTCAGTCGAGAGAGACCTGGGTGTGCAGGTCGACTCAATCTTGAAGTTTCGACAGCAAGCGTCTACGGCGGTCTTCAAAGCGTCTCAAGTTCTTGCGGTCATCCGCCGGTCCTTCGCCTTTTTAGATGAATTTACCCTGCCTCTTCTGTTCAAATCTCTCGTGCGGCCTCACCTGGAGTTCAGCAGTCTTGTTTGGGGTCCGTTCAATAGAGCTGATCAGAAGGCAGTCGAAAGGGTTCAAAGAAGAGCCACCCGGTTAGTGGTGAGCATCCGCCACCTTCCATATCCTGAAAGGCTGAAGAGACTGAAGCTCCCGTCACTGTACTATCGGCGTAGACGCATGGATATGATTCACGCATACAAGATGCTGCACGGCCACGTTGATACTGATCCTTCAGAGCTTCTGGCAACGAATCCTGAAAGGCGAACTCGGGGTCACACACTTAAACTACGGAAGCCTCGTGCAACCTGCCGTGCCAGACTGAATTCATTTTCTGTGCGGTGTATTAACGATTGGAACGGGCTTCCAGCAGAAATTGTACATTCGCCCTCAGTCAACGTCTTTAAGAACAGGCTGGATGCACACTGGGAGTCGATCTGGTACTCCATTCCTGTCCTGTAACAGACTGAGTACTAAGTGAAGTTATGGAAATCGGCGAGAACGGGCCCTACAGGACATCGTGCCTCTTGCCCCGATAACACGAAGATGATGAAGATGATGATTGTGTCAAAAACATTATCCGCAATGAAGCTCGCACGGAGATCCTGACCATCCAGGCGTTATGCTTTTAGTCTGGTCAGGCCATCAGGGGCCCAATGTGACGGGCGAGACCGATGTAACCGGTATGGTGCGCAGTAGCAGTGGCGTATACGTGTCAGATCGAAAAAGGACAGCGCGTACCGCATGCAGTGGGCATCAGGGGCGGATCCAGAAAATCTCCAAGGGAGGGGCCATTAGAAACCAGGAGGCCCCCATAATCCCACCTGTTGGAGGCCCCATCTTCCCACTTGTTGCCCCCCCCCCCAAAAAAAAAACTGCGTCTATTGAGCTTATCTAGCTGTTCAGGCAACATCTCAACATGAATAGCCACTTTATTTTCAGGAGGCCCCCTTTTCAGCTTTTTAACTTTTTATTTTATTTTTGAAAAAAATCGGCCAAGGGGGGGGGGGCCATGGCCCCCATGGCCCCCCCCCCCTTGTATCCGCGCCTGGTGGGCATTGACGTGCCACGGTGAAGGAGGGTGGAAGGCGTAATGCAGCTCTCTATAACCACACTGGCCGGCCCGAGACACCTCACTCAACATACGTAACCCGAGCTGTCAACAGCCAAAGGCGCCGATTTAAATCCCACGGTCGGAGAACGCCCAAACGTACCGCAGCTGTCCATGGCCACCAGGTGGCGGCCATGCAGCAGACGCACGTGCAGCACCAGGGTCGGGATGGCAGCCGGCTCCGCAGCGGCAGCGGCCGAGTCCGCCTCCCCCTGGTAAAACAACAGTACAAACACAGCTTGTCAATGGACCGGGATCTATGGAACAATACATCACGACATGAATCGGGTATTGGCTCGCGAACGAACGATCTATATAATTCATCGGCATCACAATAGAGATCAGCTAGACACAGATTACGCTTTTGAATCAGAGTTCCGGCAGTCCGTGCATCGGTCGCAACCGAGAGACATGAGGCATTCAGCAGGACAGTAATAGCCCGCTTCCTTTCAGCGCTGCCAGTAAATGACTCAGTGCGGTTGGCTGCCAACCAGTCGCATGGATCGGTATCTTTGTAATCCAAATGTCAATTGTCAAGGATCTTTTAGTTGCTCCCGGGTTCAGCAGTAAGTTTCGGGTATATTTCCTCCCGCTTGCGCTGAGTGCTCAGCACTTTTCCTCTGCACTTGCGTATCTAATCCCCATCAGTGTTTTTCCAGTCCATACATATCCTCAAGAGCTCACTTTCGTGCCATAGCCGTCCCCACAAGCCCCGCTCCGTATCTTTTCTATTCCCAGAAGCCCTTTCTTTCTATCCCCGGCAGTTCTCACCTGACCTCCATCCTCGTCCTCCGGCTCCTCATGGCTATGCCTCAGGCCGCGGCGGCTCGGTGACACGCGGTGTGCCAGGGCCGGCACCCTGCGCTCCAGCTGGGCAGCCAGCCGCGGCGCCTGCCGCTCCAGACCCGCCGCCAGCCGGGGCACGTGCTTCTCCAGGCCGGCCGCCACACGAGAGCGCAGCCGACCGCCCAGCTCCGCCGCCTGCGAGTGCATCTGACCTTGAGCGGGGAGGCCCGGCGGCGAGCCAGCCCACTGTTGCACGGTGCGCTGGTTCGGATAGGCGGTGTTTTGAGCACAGCACACACTACTCACACTGCGTCCAGTCGCGACACACGTTAACCCAGTGCCTTCAGAGGACCTGGACGTGGCGTCACACTATCGTCACCCGGACGCGCCCCCCGCGGCGTCACCGTCCGCCGCGCCGCGACGCCGTCGACTGCCGACGGTGGCTCCACCGGGCGGCAGGACGACCACGGCGACGGGGGGGGGGGGGGGGAGGGTGTAACCGGTGGGGGCGGGGCAGGGCTGGTCGGTCGGTATGCCGCTCCCGGGCCCCGATACGGAAGGATTGAGGGCGGCGCTGTATGTACCGTTGATTTCGTGCAGCACCCCGAAATGACGACAGAGCCCGGCAAAAACGAATCAGCAGGGCACTTGCACTTGCTGGGAGGCGTGGTCTGAAGCTACAACAACCACAGCCCGTTCTACTACACTGGTCACACCACAGTAGTCCCGTAATACCGGGTCAGACCACACCGATACCGGACCGGAACTACCGCCCAACTGAGTGTGAAACGGGTGTGAAAAGCTCAGCTTTCGCTACGTAGTGGGAAAGCGAGTAGCGCCTAGCGGTAGACCCGTCTAACCACCGAACCAGGAAACATTCGTCAACGCTATACGCTATAGGTCACTTTTCGCTGCCTCAGCCGACCAGCACACACGAGACGGGCAGCTTCGATCTGCGTACCCTTGAAAATAAACAGGCGGGCGAGGGCCGGGGGCGGGGCAGGGCGGGGGCCGGGGGCGTCGCGAAGAGTGGCAGGTGCGGGTCGTAAACTCAGCCGACTGTTCTGCTCCGAAGGTCGGTGGTGACTGCGGGGCACGACCGACGACGGTAGAGAAACAGGACTGCGGAGCGAAGGTAGACGAGGGATTGAGGTTTATTGGCTTTAGTGGTGGCAATCAGGCATCAGTTGTTCGACGAACACGAGGAAATGTCATAAAGTTAATCAACTCATGCTTGGCATCGTTTCTGAGCATTTCGTCACCGGTCACGGATGAAATAAAAATTTTATCGCTTATTTTTACCGACATCGCTTATATTGGGAGACATTGATCTTCTTATCGAGCAACTCCAAATTATGCTATTTAACGAGCGGTCTCAAAGATATGTAGGAATGATTGCCAACGTTTTCCGGTCGATGGGCGGAGTTTCACCATATCGACCTTCACATTGAAGTGCATATTTCGTTTTATGTAACGAGTTATGCTTGTATGTAGGTAAGGATCGAGAGTATGTATGTGCACATTGGCAGCGCACTCTAATGCCACCGTGGTAAGCTGCACTAACGGGAGAACGTTTGCACAATGATAAAACCTTGGATAAAGCTGCCGTACCGCTGCCACGCACTCGTAACTCGGCGAGCGAAACCGTGCATTTCGGTGACGGTTAAAAGCCCGACATAACAGTTGCAGACGTTGTATTGTTAACCTTACAAATTGTCCATGATACATTTCTATTGAAGGCGGTTTGCTCGATGAAGTGCCGATTCCTTACCACGGTAATTGTCCGAATATATCTGAGCACCGTGCACTTGTTTACCAGTCACAACTGCTGTGCTTAAAAGCGACAGTGGGACAGTGTCGGACCTCCCATCACCGAAATGTGCCCCCGAACAGAGCACTGGCCAGTCTTTGTTCGCTCAGTAACGAACCCCAACCACTCCAGCCGAGTGTTTCAGCCTCTTCCGCTCACTGAGCGATCATCACACGCCGGTCGCGAACGGCAGTCTTGCAGACCATGTCTTCCATGCAGCTATCTCTGCAGCATTTGTCGCGCAGAGCGCAGTCGCCGTCGTCCTCGCAGAGCCGGGGCTGGCCGTTCCCCTTCACCCCCGAGAGGCAGGGGAACAGGCGCGGGCAGCGGCCGGGGTGGACGATCGGCACCGGTGACCTGCCGCGTCAGAGCAGTCCCGCGGTCGGCAGGGGTACAGACAGCTCGACCCAACAAACCGAGGGCATGAGGAGAGAACAGTGGAACATGGGAGGGGACAGTCGAGGAAGACCCGTTCGTTTCGAATGTGCTTCACAGTAGGAGAGATATGACGAGAGGCACTAAAGAGGACGGATAACTTTCATTGCAAAAACGTTTATTTAAATGGCGACAAGTCACCTAAGCCACTGACAGTTTCAAAAACATTATTGTAGGGGTGATCTCAAAACAAAAATAACTGTTGCCTTGTGCACCAGACAAAACGAAGAGAATCTGTGCCTCGCCCACTCACACCTGTTTCAATCTGCGTTTGTTCGTGCCTGAACGTGTGAGCAAGGAGGCATACCACTGGTGACAGCGGAGCCCCGTGAACTGCCCGGCCGCGCACACTAAGGTAAACAGTAAATACCCACCGTCACCTCCGACCCCATCAGCTCCAGCCCCGCGGCGACGAGCCTGTCCGCCGCGCGAGCTTACCCTTGCATAGCCGTCTTGCAGACGCGCATGTTCAGACAGCCGTCCATGCAGCATTTGTCCTGTTCCGCGCAGTCCGCATCGGTCTCGCACGGCCGCGGGGCGCTCTTGGCGGCCTCGCCGGGTTCGCAGCCGTCCACGACCGGTGGGCAGAAGCCGGCGTGTTCAGAGCTCTGGCAGCAGTAGGTGTCCCACGTCGTCTCCAGACGGGAGCGCCGGCAGTACCTCATGCAGTTGGACGGCGGCGGTTCCTGGGCCGAGACGACGGCAGCAGCGGCGGCGAGCAGCAGCACGGCGACGGAGAACTTCATGGTGACCTGGAGAGGGTCACTACGATGGCAGGCTGATGGGGCAGAGAGCGAGTCGGATCGGAGCGAGGTGATGTGGCTCGGACGGCGGCTGAGTCTGGTGACTGCTGACTGCGGCAGGAGCTGGCGGTGCGACCGTCCTGTATACCGGACAGCACTATGACCTGGGCCGAGCAGCCCCGACTTTTATACCTCATCTGACCCCTGCCCAGGCCCCATTGCGCCCCCTGTGACCACCACCAGTCTGCAGTGCACTGTGCATCGTGCAGAACCTCCCGGACATCAGTGCAGGGGTTGCAGATGGGGATGCCAGCAGGGGTGCACATGATGACAGAGGACTGCGTACCTGGGCCAAACCCAGGTACCAAAGGTCCGGAGTGCACCTGTACCGGTCCCGGGAGACCAGCCGCTACCGTCACCTTTTGGCACGTATCACCTGACCGGGACGTGGTCTCACCGAACTGACCGGGGCACGTGGACAAGGTGATGGACTTGATGTCAAGGAAGATCAATGTCGAATACAACTGCTCCAGTAGCCTCAGCCGACAAGATTCAAGTGAGCTCTTAGCTAAGCATTGACAGCAGCAGCGGACACATCACATAGTCAACATCATAAACGATGCACTCCGAACGGTTGTAATGTATTCAAAATGATCGTCCTGAATGGGAAGCGGAGCTACACGCATATCCTACATGGTGCTAATCGATTGTCTGAAGGGTTTCTTTATGTGCCGTGAAAGCTCCCTAAGGATCGGTTGTGTTGCAACTTGCAAGCTTCAATGCAAAAATGTCATCTCGAATACGCGAGGCATGCTCACAGCGATCTAGCACCATAAGTGCAGGGGAGCTCGGTTTTGTTTATGTAGACAGGTTGTCGAACGACTTTGGTTGCCTGAAGTTGAAGTTGAAGTGCTTCCGGCCCTTGGCTGGGAAGCCATACGGGGGGGGGGGGCCTTACAGGCGGCCCAGCCGCCTCAGGAGCTCCACCAGCTTCGTCGGGTCTCCCAGCGCTTCCCTCACCTCCGGTTCGTCATCTTCGAATATCCTTAGTCTCACCACTGCCCGGGCGGGGCAGTCGGTCAGGAGGTGAGTTAGCGTCTCATCCTCCTGCCCGCACTCAGGGCAAGTGGGATCGTTCTCCAGTACCTACGATTCGGTGCCGGTACTCCCGCAGCATCAGTGAGTGGCCGGTACGGCGTCTCGCGGCTTCCACGCATTCCTGGCGGGAGAGTCCCAGGCGCTCAGCCGGGGGGATCCGGCGCACTCCGTTCTGCTAGGCGTCGAACGTTGATATGAGACAAGCATGGTGACGCAGTGTCCTTCACCTGATAGGCTGACTGATATTGGACTGATAGAACGTGCAATTGGGCGAGAAGCCCTGCTCAGAATTGACTCAGATTCGGCAAGGCCAATGACTCCAGACTGTGCTCCAGACAATATAGCTTTCACGAAGCCACTCTGGCAAATATGACCCACAGTCTGCCGAGTACCGAAGTACGCAGTATTTCTGCACATGAACGGTCGAATGCACAGTGCTCCGGGACGGGAGGGGGCCGGATCTGCCAGTGGTGTCACCTGCGATCAGACATGCTGCAGTAACCGGAATACGCCGCCCGGTCCCACCATTGTGATAGCCCGGTGAGCAATGGGCACGTCCACATGAGCCATGCAGTGAGTCATGGGAAGGGGCAGAGCTGAGGCCACCCAAAAACGCCCCTCGAAATAACCGGGCATGCTCAAAGTGGGCTCTTTTTCTCATTCGCCATTTTCAACAATTCATCATTCAACACGTTTTGGTCCTTTTAACGCAAATTGATAATCATTGTGTATGGACCGTTTTCAAACGGACAGGCAAGTGAGTGACGGTACATGAAACATTTGTCAAGGGTCAATTGAAGTTGAGGTCGTGACTTGGCCGAAAAAAAAAACTAGACAGGATCATTGACCATTGTCAACATAACCGAATGACTTGGAAGCTTCTAAAAATTGGACCGATTCAAATCGAAGCTGGTTGGAAAGCATTTTGTGCAGCGGGATTATATATAGCAGCGAGGGGCAAGGCTACCCAAATCACAACAAAATCGGCCTCGGTCGAGTAACAATCAATTGACGCGTAGTGGTAGAGATAACAATTTGGTTTGATTGCTTTACAATGTATTTTTGTGACACATATTGCATAACAAAATAAGCATTCATTTTAGAATGTTAGTAACTAGCATAGTTGTTGATCATTCTACAACACGCACATAAACACTGAGACAATGCTAAAATACCTACATAGAAAGTCGCGGCTAATTTATTTCTAACTCACCACGTCCTTTTCAGAAGGCGACTGGTGGTAAGGCTGCGTAGACCATGCATTTCTACATCGTACCTGCTTCATTCATCATCCATTACATTTGTCCGCTCATATAGTTGCCCACAAGTATCACAATCACAATCACTATCACAACGACTGAAATAGAGGCTGAATTTCGGTCTTTGTGAGCCACCCGTCGGGGTGGAATTACTTGGTAAAATACGTAATGGCACATACCTTATCGTAAAAGCAAAACTACATTTCGATACGGAATCTAACAGCTGTGCAAAACTATGACGGATAAAATCAATAAACTTCATTGCAATTATAAACCAGTAAACCTTAATTAGAGGCACCCGTCGGCCATCAACTAAAAAAGAAGCGAGCTCATGTCCGGAAACTGGACTGAGTTGAAGGCATCTTATCAGTACTAATTGGAAAGTGAATCAATTCCAAAACGGTTTAAAGCCAAGGCCACAAATGATCACACCACACCGGAGACACAGTAGCCCAGTGCCCGAAAATGCCCATTCGAGCACTGGTCGAACCTCAGGGGGCTGCCATATTTACATGCTTATCATGGTATATCCTACCATCAAACCACTGGTTTTCATTTAACTCAGTGACAATTAGAGTCATTGAATCAAGGGCCGCGGACTAAGAGACTCCCCCGAACTCTGTTCATCTATCACATATTGCATGAAACGGACACTAGCGGCAACTACAAGCGGTCGTTTAAGTAGCAAAATCTCGGAACACTCACGTTCGGTCGCATCCCACGGCAGCCGGCGCCCTCTGTGGGGAGGCCAGCACCTCTAGCCGGTCGTCAGGTGGCGCGGTAAGGCATCCGCCGCCCGAGCTGTGCCGCCGGAGCAACGGGCATCGGCCCACTGCCCGGGCTCCCAGTCAGCACCGGACCAGACTCGGCTCTAGTCGCCGTCCAGACAGCGGTTGGCGTGGTTCTGCAGCGGCTCCAAGTCCTGGAACGCCATGTCGCATTTGGGACACGAGTAGACGGTGGACTGGACGTCGGGGTCCGGTCGGGCGGCCGGATGCGGCGGCGGCCGCGAAGGCTCCACGCTGTCCGCGTTCGTCGTCAGAGTGGCCGACTGTTGACGCGCCAGGAGGTGGCGCAGACGCGTCTGTTGCGTCGCCAGCTCGTTGCGCAGGTGGTCGCGCTCCAGGGCTATCTGCTCACGCTGCCGGCGCTCCTGGTTAAAGTCCTGCTGGTAGACGTCCACCTGCGCCTTGAGGATGTCGATCGCCTGCAGGTCGCGGCGCAGCTGCAGCACCTGCCGCTGGAGACGCTCGCACTCGGTGCCGCGCGCACTCAGCAGCTCCTCCATGGAGAGGATGCGTGCCTGCAGTCCGTCGGTGTGCACCTGCTGGCTGGTACCGGCCGGGTCCGGGCCGGCCGCGTCGGCCTCCCAGCGAGACGCCACGCTGTTGAACAGGTCCCTCAGCCGGCGCCAGGCCGACACCGCCTCGCCGCCGTCGGTGGTGTCCTCGGCAGCGGCGGCCGACAGCTGCTGCAGCTCGGCCCGCAGCGCCGCCAGCTCGGCCGCCACCCGGTCCGGCGACTCCTCGGAGACGGCCAGGCCGGGGAGCCGCGCGGAAAGCGAGTCCAGCGCGCGGCCGGCGTCGGCCAGCCGGGCGGCGTGCGCGTCCAGCGCCGCCTGGCCGCTGCTCAGCCGCTCCGAGGCCTGGCGCAGAGTCTCCAGCACGGGCGTGTACTGCTGGTCGCCGGCCAGCCAGGCGGCCAGCTCTTGCCGCTGGCGGCGCTCGCTCTCCAGACTGTGCCGCAGCTGGGCCGCCTCGTCCTTGAGCCGCTGCAGCTCCGGCGACGGCGGCGCTGATTGAGGGCCCGCCGCCGGTGCCACCTGGCGGTAGGAGCTCAGCTCGGCCTCCTGGCGCGCCAGTTTCGACTGCAGGCGCGCCACCTCGCGCTGACTGTTTCGCAGCTCGGCCGCCTGCTGGGAGAGCTGCGAACGCAGTGCCACCTCGGCGCCGGCCGGGCCGGGCGACTCGCCGCGCCGACACAGGTCCTGCGGCGGCTCAGCCTGCTGCGGCTCGCGGCCGGGCGCGTCCGGCGGCTGCTGCGCCAGCTGCTGGCGCAGGTCGGCGTTCTCCTCGCGCAGCTGGGTGATGACGTCCCGCGCGCGCTGGCAGTGCGCGGCTACCTGGCGGCGCTCCTCGCGCAGCCGCTGACACTCGTCACGCCAGGCGAGCAGCGCCTCGCACTGGCGGCGCAGCGAGGCCGAGCTGTCGCGGATCGAGTCGCGCAGCCGGGTGTTCTCCAGGAGCACGCCGCGGATTTTGGTCTGCAGCTGGTCCACGTCCAGATCGAGCACGGCCGAGTTACCCGACAGGAACGAGGAGAGCATCAGCGCGCTGGGGTCGGAGCGCGAGCGCGGCCGATCCGGCGACCCCGGGCCGGAGCCGCTGCCGGCCGAGTCGCGAGCCGCCGGCTGTGGGCCCACCAGACCTTCAAACTGCAGTTCTTCCCAGCTGTCGATGTCCGGACCATTGCTAGAGGTGTGGGAGAGCGGCTGGTAGTTCATGTCCATGTCATCAGCTGTGCTGGTGTCGTCTGTCAGTGCTGGCTCATTCTGCAGAAGTAGATGAAGTTTAGTTAGCATTTGTGGGCTGCAAGTTCAGTGTTCACTATTCCCTCCTCCCAGCTGGGACAATGGGCAACTTTGTAGGAAACACTGAAAGCAGTTCACTTTTTGTGTGAGGAAATGGTTAAGATTGATGAGGAAAATGCTACTTTTGTATAAGCAATAGGGACATTTCAGAGGTGCTACTATTATGGGTCTGTTCCCGTCGCTCCTCCCAAAAAATATCGGATGAGGTTGGATGAGCTTGGAGGAGAGCCGTTTCAGAGGAGCCACGGGAACATTTTCGCGAGGAAATCAGCTGTTTGCGGGCTGTAACGGTCGGCGATTTATGGCGCGCAAACATAAATCAAGAGATAATAATCGCTTTCTAATAAAATAACCTTAGATTTATGTCAAACATTACTATTTCAAGATATCCAATCGTCATCAATCACTAAAATCATTTCCACTTCCCTCAAATCTCATTTATAAACAACTCACATTTGTATTACGTGCGCCAAATATGTCTACGCAAGAGCCTCCTCCAAAAAACCAACTTTCGTTTGGGATGAGGGAGGAGGCAAATAGTGGTGGTGAGATGTGAAATGAAGATGAGCTTGGAGGAGCTTGGAGGAGCGACGGGAACGATTTTTTGAAACGAGAGGAGGTTAGAGGAGCTTGGAGGAGGTTAGAGGAGCGACGGGAACAAACCCATAATTGCAAAATTATAATAGCTCATTAAATTTCTGAATTATTCAGAAACTCTGAATTTGTTTGGGTACTTATATAGCATCTTTTTTAACAATATTATAACCAAATGAAAACAAAATAGGGGCAATGGAATAACCATAAATTAAATATTCAAATGTGCTTTAAAACACAAAAAATAGATTCCAATACTTAAAGTTTATTTTTCTAAATAAAAATCTTCAAAGCCCCAATGCCTGCACCTGCGACAAATTGAAATAGGTAGTGACCTTGTGGTGTAAATGGTGTTGTGCAAGGCCATATAACCGTGTTGTGTGTAGTCACTGTAAGCGTCAATACTTACGCTGCTTGCAAAAGTTCGGAAGCATTCCAAACCATTCAACTAAAGAACCAGGATTTTACTCGGCAGGCTGTTCCCAATCTCAAAATTGTGGAAAATGTCAAGATTCCTATATGCCTTCAAATATAAACATGCATAAAAATATCACAATATTTATGTTGCATAGTTCGATGCTGCATCCAACGTTGATCCAACGTGAGTCGGTCACATATACTTTTTATGGCGTCATCATGTTCGAAGTATATTCTGTTCTCTGTGTTCAGGTTGATTCTATTTTATTATGATTTTAGTGGTATTAAATATGATTTTAAAATAAAGAGTCTTCCTGATAGAATTTACAATAGATATTTCATTTTTTAAACCTTACTAGCGGGCTAATTGTTTTCTGATGACGTAATTTTTACTGTAAAAAATGACGTGTTAAGCAGGAACAACATCTTTTTATAGACAACCTTGAAATGACGCATCTGTGACAAAATATTTTCTTTATGTGATGTGATTCGACGTCAGTTTGTCGTCATAAGACCTCTCGTAATTATGGTGGTATAATAATTTCCATTGAGGAATCACTCAGATCACTCTAGATGGAGCATCTAATAGGCGCGATGACGTCGTAATATAAGGGTTGTCCGTGAAGTGGTCTTGAAGTTCACGGAGGCGGCATCTCACTCTGACTCCACTCCGAGGCTGCTGCGAATTGCTGAACGTTGCTGTCGAGGGTGAATAGGTGAGTGGGCGTCGCTGGGATTTTTTAGATTTCTATGCTATCAATCAATTTGTAAGTCGGCAAAATATTGAGTAAATAATTGTATACTGAGTACTGACATGCCTTTTAATAGCGGCAGTCGGGACAGGTCATCATAGCTTTGGATTCATACATTGTTATGATAACAAACGAAGATAGGCACGAGCTTTGCTTTCATGCTGCTGTTTAGTCTAGCATGCAACTGACAAGACAGCTATGCTAGACCCAGAGCCAATATCACTGTGCCGCAATGTGCCTACCTGCAATACCTACCTTGTATTAGGCTAAAATCTTGACACCATAGTGACGTAAATTGGAAGCAGGTGATGCTGTCAGCTTGTGGATCTTTGGAATTTGGTGTTAGGTTACCTAATCAAGCTCTTGGGCATTTAGCAGTTGCTGGCTCTTAATTCACCCATCGTACCATGCAGACTAAATGTCTTTAAAAAAGAACAGTGCTTCACTTCTCATCCATTTTTTATTTGATTTGATGCAGCCCAAATTGTTATCATGGCTCAGACTTGATGACTTGTGCTGTCTGTTACCTACCTACCTCAACCTTGAACTTGAATAATTTAGACAGCCATGCCTCCCATCTGTAGATTCATAGACCATGTTCCTAAAATATAGAAAACATAACACTGATGCATGTATTTAAGAAAGCTTGTTGAGCTTTTGGATACAGGCCTTTGTCAAGTCATAAAATGTGTAGTGGTACAGTAGGTATAAGCTTACTTACATGTTTGTGTTCTTTTAGGTAAAGTGACTTGACTGAGTGTGTTGACTGTTCAAAGAGTGTTAAGAATATTATGTCCAAACCAAAAGTGTAAAGGTACATTGTTTCAATTGGTATTTTATGGTTTGTTAAAGGCCCTTTGATTAAAGAAATGTTGGTTTTGATTAAGAAAAGATGGGTTGTTCTTCATCTAAACTATTGCTGAGATCTGAATAAATTATGGCCAACTGATGGACATCAGCATTCTTATGGATGCACTAGGGTAACATGATGGAATTGAAGGCTTCAATAACATTTTTAATTCAGTATCTACTATCTGCATTCAGCTTGCCACAAAGCCACTGCAGCTCCTTTAAATGTTACATGTTGCAATGTAGAGTAAAGCCTTACATGCCATGAACAGTGCCCTGAATCTCTTGTCTGAAGCATCAGATCTTGGGGACAGGAACTATGTTCATGAGCTTCCTTTAGGGCACAGCCGCTTCCAAGTCCACCAGAGGCCTGGCTGTCCCTGTTCACAGCTGAGCGGATGGGGCAGTGTTCTGTGTGACCCAGTCCTGATCACCTGGGTGGTGTCTGTGCTGGCAGATGACCCGGCCGCTGCCGGCCGGCTGCCGCGCAGTGCATGGACGGCTGTGTAGGCGGGGCGTCGCCCCGGCCGCTCAGCGCCACACCCGTGGTCCGACAGGTGGGCGTCTACCTGCCGGCTCTGGACGAGCTCGGGGGACAGCTGCAGCAGCTCGAGCCGACACTCAACAGGTGAGTCGGCGGAGATCAGGTGACTCCGGCGATCCGGAGAGGTCAGAGGACTTCGGGGTGAATCTGGGAGGTCAGGAGAGGACCTCGGGAAGTCGAGGAGGTCAGAGGAGAACCTTGGTGAATCTGGGAGGTCATAGGAGGACCTCTGGGATATCTAGGATCACGGCGAGCCGGAGTGGGTCGAGGAGGACCTTGAGGCCGTCGACAGACGTCAGTAGAATACGATCGACAAAGTTGGCCAATGGCAACAGGCCGGTTTGTTCTCTCAATCGACTTGGCACTTAGCGAGTGAGCGCGAGGAGTCATACACTGGATTGGCACCGGTTTCTAAAGTCCACGACGCGTTTTATTATTTTGATCTTTGGACGCATGAGACGAAGATAGTACCGATCTCGCATTCATGGTCGATTAAATAAATAGTGTTACGCGTTATAACGCTACTCAGTAAAGCAGCCTCGCGAAATCCGCGTGAATCTGCGGAAATGGTCTCGTAAAAGGTCTTTGAAATGCTTGTTCCTCGATTCCTGAAGGGCTAGATGGCGGCGAGAACTCGGCTCGGGCCATTGACGCATTTTTTTTTTTTTTTTTTTTTACCATTGACGGGGATGACTTGCGTGTTGCGGTCATTGGCAGTGCTTTTGGTTCAGGTCAGATGAATCGCGGTTCGCGAATGGAGTCGGATACTTCCGGCAATGTGGACACGTTAAACGCTCAGTTCCATATAATGATTTGTACACAGATTTTCCTAATGAGGTGACGCAGAACGCTAAACAAGTGCTAAACAACTCCTGTTGTCGCTGGGTCTGTCGCGGAAATTGGCCATGTTAGTTAGATTTGCAAGTTTTTAAGGCCAAAATTTGTTAGTGCTGTTAACCTTGTAGATCGTATGCACGCATTCAATTATTCTGGCCCGGCCCCATATCGGGAATTGGACAAATTATATCGCTGCATCTTACTTTCGCATTATCATTAACGCCAAATACAACACATCTGCACAGTTAAGTTCGAGAAACATAACCGTATATAAGCTCAGTCTATAACCTCGGCTAAGCCGGCTTATCAAGTATAATTTTTATATACGTACTAGCGCCCGACTGGCGGTGCGTTTCTGATAGATGACCAAAGGCCTTGGGATAGAGCGTTACACCCATTTCAAATTATTGTGATTTAGCACCCCGCCGATCCTCCGGGCGCCAGCTGCCATGTGCCGCGGACAACACCGCTGTCACAGTTTGTAGACCACGCCATCGGGCCCACGTGCCGGCCGCCGCCCTCATTGCCAGGTCACCGACAAGGTCGGGTCGGAGCGCTCCCCGGGGGCTCCTTGGCCGGGGGCAGTGGCGCAGCGGCCGGCCGCCGCAGCCGCTCGTCTTGGTGTGCTCCGCGGAGCGGGCTCACCCGTCCAGCGAGGCCGCTCCGCTGAGTGGGGCGCGGCGGGCCGCACCTGAAAAACACGCCGGCGCGTCCCGGCAAAAACACGTGTGCCGTGCCGGCCGGCCGTGCAGGAGCAGATAGCGAGCTGACGTGGGCCGCCGCCGCCCGCTCCCGTTCCGGGCCGGCGCCAGAGGCCGCGCCGCCGATTTAACCCTAGAACGCCTAGGGGGGGGGTTGTATCAACCCCCCCCCCTGAGGTTTTTTCGAAGTGCACGCTAAACGGCTTGTCGTAGCGGGCTGAAATTTTCAATACCCTCTGGGGCAACCTTTGCGCATCTTTTGCCGAAAAAAATTGATCGGGTCATGTCAGGTCACGGAGTTATGACGTCATAAGAGGTACAGCCTCCGGCCGGATTTTCACAAACTGAGTGCCAACGCCCGAGGTTTCCTGCCGGTGGTACGGACATCGGTTGATGGATCGTGATGAAACTTCCCATGCATGTTGGGGCAAGTATTGGCTATCATATGGTATAAGAAATTTGACCGGGTCAGGTCAGGTCACGGAGCTATGACGTCACAAGAGGAACAGCGTCCGGTACTATTTTTGAAAAGCGCCCGAACCACTATTTTGCTAATTCTTGTCACCTCAATGGGAATATGCAGCAATATTAGCTTCTATAGGGAGCAAATGGACCTCCCAAATCCAAAAATACAATCAGATTTCAAAAATTTAAATTTTGATTTTTCGAATTTCTGCCGCCGACTGTGACCTTGCCGACTTCCGGCGCTCCCAACGCGCCATTTTTAGAGCTAGGGAAACGAAATACATACCAAACGATAGAGAATTGATCAAGGAACACGATAGTGAAGGTTTCAAGTCGATATCTCCCACCGTTTTGCCGCAATCGCCGCCGAAAGTTGAAAAAAGTCTATTTTTCCGAAAATTTGACCTTTGACCGGTCAAAAGTAGGTCAAATGTTGACCTAGGACCAAAAAATATACCACCAAGCGCGAGATCTCGTTGAGAGCAATCCGTTGGTTTTTTCCGCTAAGCTCTACGACCTTCCGTTTCGAAACGCCAGGGGGGGGGGGTCGTAACAACCCCCCCCCTGGTCGTTCGTGTTATGAGAAATGGCCTGGTCGTGCGAGGGTTAATAGGTTTCTATATTTTGAGCGCTGCATTTGCTGTGTAAATATTTTGCAGATTGCACGGCGCTGTCTGTGCGGGGCGCTGACAGGGTTGACCGTTTCGGGTTCCATTATCAGGAGATGGATTTTACCTTGGAATAAAAGTCGATTGGATGTGTGGTGAATTAACAATAAAAATAGCCGGTTCGTTGTCAAGAAAGAGTTGAATTGATTTTACTTTATATTATCTTCGGCGGCGGCGACTCTCAACACTCTCAACACGTGGCGGCGACACAATCACGGCGGCAGTCAGGGCGGAACTCCACCACGAGGACGAAACGGGGGCGAAATCAACTCGGTTTATACAGCGCAATGTGAAGGATCCAGGACGGGCTACCAGATAGAGGATACTTTAAAAGTCGGAAAGGAAACTAGTATAGGCACGGGGAGGATAAAGGAAAAGGGCTCGAACACACGACATACTCCCCACCCGAAGTAACTCTGGTTACTTCGCAAAAGCCAATGCTCAAGCGTCGGCAACACAGGGCGGACCGCGAGCAGCCAGCTCGGCGCTTCGCGACGGTACAAGTGCGCAGTCAGACGCACAAAACAAATCACAGCGCTTAAACTAGTCTCGACACTTCGCGACACATTGAGCACAACCAAGTGCAATCAGCACACACAGAAACGGTCCTCTAGTTCTGACGCGCGCACAACTCGGCACTCGGGCACGTCAGTCGCCATTCCGCGCACACACCGACAGGCGCGCGGACGAGAGTCTTACTCGGCGGCCTCCAGACTGAAGAGTCGGGAGATTGGCCGCCGCGTTAATTTGCCGCGCACACGGAGAAAAGCCGCTCGGCAGCGGCCGTCCGGTCCCGGGATGAGCGACACCACCCGGGCGAGGGGCCACGTGCCCCGGCGTCCTTCGCCCTGCAGCAGGACGACCTCGCCGACCGCGGGCAGGCGAGTGGGGCGGCCGCGCGGTGACGCGGCCCAGCCTCTCAGCGTCTCGAGGTACTCGGTCGTCCACCGACGGACGAGACGGTCACTCACACGGCGCCGGTTACGCCAGGTCCTGCCCACATGGGAGTCAGAGTCAAGACTGGGACAGACCACACCGGAGATAGTGGTAACCCCAAACAACAGGTGAGCCGGGGTAAGTAGATCATCTCCATCACCAGGGGTCAGGGGCCTCAGGTTGAGATGAAAAGCAAGTTCATACGGCGTCAAAGCCAACTCATCATACGACAGGTGACATTGGTGCAACGTTATCTTCAGGGCGCTCTTAGTCACACCGACGAGCCGTTCCCAGAACCCGCCCCACCACGGGGCGGCCTCGGGGATGGAGCTCCACTTGACTGACCGCGGCGCATGACTGACGAGATCAAGGGCATTGTCACGGACAACTTGACAATCAGACTCCCCACCCTGCGAGACGTACACAGTGGCACAGTAGGCAGTCTTGGAGGCATCACAGAAGACATGCGTGCCCAGACTGGTCTCACCGATCATCGCAGCACGCGGGAAGGAGACGGTGCTGCCGGCAGAATCTTGCCACCAGGCGGCGACCTCAGCTTGCAGCGCGTCAGGCAGCGGCTCGTCCCACGTCAGCTCCACCGACCAGGTCCGCTGGAACAGAGCCTTCCCTCTGACCAGCCACGGGGTGAGCAGGCCCAACGGGTCAAACGGCTTTGCCACTGCGGACAGAAGCTCACTCCTGGTGCGAGGACACAACATCTCAGGCACGGTCACAGCGAGTCGGTCAGTCTCGGTGTTCCACGCCAGACCCAACACTTTTGAGTCCTCGGAGGACACATCACCTGTGGTGCGGGTCTTGTGCAGCTCCATCCTGGCCTTGCTGAAGACGCTGCTGACTTCCTTCATCCCAGCAGCCGCCTCTTCTCTGGTGCCGAACGTCGGGCACAGGTCGTCCATGTAGAGCGCTCCCTGCACCTTCTGCATCAGCTCCGGCTGGGAGACAAGGCACTGGCGGACATGGCAGCACACTGTGCGCAACAGCATGTACGGCCAACATGACACACCGAACGGGACCCTCTGAAAGCGCAGGTGGCGGTCTCCCCACAGGAACTGCACGTAGCGCCTGTCCTCCTCCTTCAAGACGATCTGATGGAAGGCGGCTCGAATGTCTGCCTGGCAACCAACAGCATTGGTGCGGAAGTTCAGCAAGACAGAGGGAAGACGGCTCAACAGGTTCTCCCCCGGGCTCAGGTACTCGTTCAGGCTCCCCCCGGTGGCATCAGGAGCGGACCCGTCGAAAACCACCCTCAGCTTATCACCCCGGACAACACCCCGGTGCGGCAGGAAGAAGGCGTCATCAGGGTCATCTGTGAGAGGAGCATCCTCAACCACACCGTTCACAATCAACTCTGAGATATGACGATCATACCTGTCGAGCTCGTCGGTACTCATCTTGGAGACCAGACGTCGGGTGCGTAGCTCCGTAGACGTCAGCTTGGAGGCCGGCCTGCTGTCCGACTTCCAGAGCAGACCCATCTGGTAACGCTGCTCCTCTGGGTTCCAGGTCGGCTCAGGTGGCACCTCGTCTGCAGTCTCCTTCGCCGAGATTCCCACGGCGTCCAGGCTCCACATCCTCTCCACGTCGGCCAGCTGACAGCGGTAGACGCGCCTCTGTCCAGTCTGCTGGTTCTGTGCCTGCCCATGGAGAACATGACCAAACACCGTCTCAATCAGGCGCAGTCCGGGCCCAACCTCCACTTGGTCCCACATCACAACCTGGTAGATCTGATCACACCCGATCAACAGATCCACAGACCCCTCACGGTAGTCGTCAGCGAGCACGACACTTGGGGGCAGCGACAGGTTCTCAGGCAGGCTGTACGTCCCAACAGGTACACACAGGCGATCAGTTTTCCAAAAAGACAGTGTGGCCTCACCTCCTTGTCTGCCAGTCAACTTAACTGACACTCGGTCGTAGACTCTGGCCTCCTCAGTGCTCTCCAAGAACCCGACGCAGGCGAAGACTCCCTGCTCCTCAGTCTCCAGGCCCAACTTCTCTGCTAGAGACGACCTGATAAACGAAGAGTCAGAGCCTCCATCGATGAGTGCGCGCACCTGGCACACACCTCCCGGTCCACTGACCTCTACCAACACGGTCTGAACAAAACAGCTGCTCTGAGCGTTCACATTGTAAAGGCGCTTACCCTCACGAGGGCTGGTGGCTTGGCAGGACGGCTGGACGGCAGCTGCGCTGGGCGACTGGACGGACGGACCGACGGCAGAGGCGTGCCCAGTCACTTCACCTCCAGACGGCAGCTCAACAGGCGCTCTCCCTGTCCACGCTGGTGTCTGACTGTCCTGGAAGGTCAGATGGTCAGGCCAGCCAGGCGACCATGCAGCAGCAGCAGCAGGCGCTGCACACGTTACAGCGTGCATTGAGCGGTCAACAGCACGAGGCGGCGCAGCAGGTGACGGACGAGCAGTGCCCTGGCGTGCAGGTGCAGCAGGCAGGCGCACAGGGGCAGCAGACATGTGCACAGGGGCAGCAGGTGGGCGCACAGAGGCAGCAGATGGGCGCACAGGGGCAGCAGACCCTCCCGCATCATGCAGAGATGAGTGGTGAGCCTCACCGCACCTGGGACATGCAGAGCTCGTGCACACTCGCACCATGTGAGGCCCCAGACACTGATAACACAGGCCCTCCTGCCTGACGGCCCTCCAGCGTGAGGCAACATCCATGCTCCTGTAAGTGGGGCATGCAGAGAGGCCATGCCTCCCATTCTGGCACACTCCACAAACCCAACCAGCCCTGCCTGACCTGCCTTGTATCCTGAGGACACTGGTGGCTGACCTCGCTGATCTTGGCTGGGACGGCTGACTCTGGTGAACAGCTGGGCTGGCGGCTGGTGTCCCTTGTGCAGCTGCATCCTCTCTCATCTGCACCTCCTTCTGCAGAAACTGCAGGAAGTCTGGGAGGTTCTCGGAGACACCACTCTGCGCTCTCATCCACTGCAGCTTCCATGTCTCTGGGACACAGGACTTCAGCACAGGCATGAGAAGCACAGAAAACGACTCAGCAGTCACACCCATCGTCTCCAGTGCACGAACATCAGACACCAAACCATCCACCATCTGACGCAGCTGCAGAAGGTCATGGTCATCAGGGACACAGCGAGTGTTCAACAGTCTCTGCATCAGTGACTCCCTCAGCAGGTCCGGATGGTCAAACCTCTCCTGTAAGGTTTCAATGGCCTTGACATATCCAGCATCAGTCAACGGCAGTCCCTGGATAGCTGCATGTGCCCTCCCAGTCAGGTACAGTTTCAAGTGCACAAACTTTTCCACTGGGGAACAAGCTCTGTTGTCATGAACAGCAGTTCTGAACAGGTTCCAGAACTCAGGCCATGTGTCAACTGCTCCATCAAACTTAGGCAGCTTTAGCTCAAGTTTAAAAGCACTCTGGCGCTCATGCAGTACTGGAGCAGAAGCTACTCCCCTCTCGAGCCTGGCTAGAACACGCTTAGCCTTGAAGAGAGCATCATACGCATCCTGCATGTGTGAGCTATCATCCCCGATCCCATGTTTGTCAAGTTCACATTGTAGCTGTAGCATATGCTCATAATGCATCTCGAGGTGGTGAATGCGTAGGGCCAGCTCATCCTCCTGCGACTGATCACTGGCAGAGAGGTCGCGCAAAAGTCTGGTTACCTTACCTCTGGCTAAGGTTCGCTTCTGGCGCAGTTCACTTTCCTCCATCACAGCTCTTGACAGAAACACTCAAATCTTGAAGGCACAATCTCAATCTCAAAATCAAAATCTCAATCAAAATCAAAGCAAAGAACAACAAACAGCAAATCTTGATCCGGCCAGCGGAGGACTATGTGGTGAATTAACAATAAAAATAGCCGGTTCGTTGTCAAGAAAGAGTTGAATTGATTTTACTTTATATTATCTTCGGCGGCGGCGACTCTCAACACTCTCAACACGTGGCGGCGACACAATCACGGCGGCAGTCAGGGCGGAACTCCACCACGAGGACGAAACGGGGGCGAAATCAACTCGGTTTATACAGCGCAATGTGAAGGATCCAGGACGGGCTACCAGATAGAGGATACTTTAAAAGTCGGAAAGGAAACTAGTATAGGCACGGGGAGGATAAAGGAAAAGGGCTCGAACACACGACAGGATGGTTACCTACCCACGAGCTGTCAAAAGTGTTGCGTAATATACCTAACAGCTTTCTTTATTAGGGACGGCGGTAAATGCCACTACTGTCAGTGTCGGTATGTCGCAGCAATGCTGAAGAATAAATATTTATCTAACTAGGTTCTAAATATGACTTGCGTTCTCGCGGGAACAGGAATGAATTCGGATAACACATGTCATGTATTGCCGCCACAGGATTTTCCAAGGTCGAGCTAAAAACTAGTTTCGGGTGAGGTTCAAAACATATTCACGCTGTGGATGAGAGGTGCATTTTTCACCCGTGTTCAATTTTAGATACATAGTCGAAATAATTGGAGATTATCCTCGAAGGAAGCGAGTCCTTGCGCGCCGCCGTTTGAGAGCTCTGAACTATGTGTGGGTCGCCGTGGGCGCAGAACTGTAGCGACCGTTCCCCGAACTGCGGGGTTCCCGCGGCTAGCGGGATCGGACGGCGCGTTCGGGCGCGCTCTGCCTCCGGCCATATTATGGGCTAACGGCCGGCGTCTGGAGCCAGATCTGGTGCTGCGAGATATTCCAGCCAGACTCGGTCCCAGGACAGAGCGCCGGCTAAATACACAACACGAGGACAGCGCCATGTTTCGCCAGCCACCGTTCATGACATGACGCCGGTCCTATATTGGAGGCATCACACACAGGGGCGGTGTTTCACGGCCGCTGCTAGCACGCTGCTACCACACTGCCTGCTACCAGCGCATTTCGCGAGCTGACATCACAGGTTGTGGTCAAGTCACTCAATGTTGGAGCGTCCGAGTTTGTTGTTAACTCCATGGGAATCCAATTTGCCACGTGTACTGGCAGCGTGCTAGCAGCGGCCGTGAAATGGCCAGGATTGCCTTTGCCTGCTGAATCTCACAGGGGCGGCCGTTTTTCGCCGTCATTGACTTGCAAGTGCCGGGCCCGTGCGTCCGGCCCAGGAGCGGCAAACTGCCGACTCAGATGCCGACACCTGATTGGAGCGGTAGGTACCGGTCGCTGACGCAACGTTGCCGGCGATGTCTCTCGCTCCGATGGTCTGTCATCCGTCTCGGCGGCAGCACGGCGTCGCTGTAACCTTGGACATGACGGCGTTGCTGGCCGGACCGGGCGGTGGCAGAAGGGCCGGTCGGGCGCTTCAGAGACGCACCCCGCCGAGGTGGAGATACATCACCCTTCTCGCACGCCCCGCGGCGCTCGGCGATCGTTCGTCAGCGCTCTACGCTCAGCGGCGGCCGATGTTGGTCAGTGGTCAGGAGCCGTGTTTGCCGGCGTTCAGCAGCCGGTGTTTGTCAGCGCTCAGCGGACGGTGTTCGCCAGCACTCGGCACGCGGCGGTCGAATTTTGTCAGCGCTAGGCGCGTGCGACCCAGGCTGCGACAAAACATGCCAGGCGATCTTGGTTATGGCTTATATAACTGCATGATCAATCGCTAAGCCGCGCCCTGAACACTGGATGTGTGACAATGACTTGGTAAACGATGCTCGGCAGTGATTTGGTGAATGGTTTGTTGTTGGTTCGTTGACTATTTTGCGTGACTATTTTGAATGTCCGGCTCTGTGTTTACAATTGACGCTAAATTGTATTGAGTGGCAGGATCTGCTTGTGTTCCTCTTATGACTCATTAATATCGTTTTGCCGTGTTTGTTTCAGCTATGTTTCGCGTGAGTTTCCGCTGCTGCACAGCCGGGAGTCGGTGGTGTACAGTCTTCCCAGCGTCTACATACCATCGGAGAAACACCAGGTGAGGCGGACACACTCGCCCCTGGGCCCCGTCAGCCGGGCTGGCCGCCGATGAATGCGATCCCTGTAGCGCGCTAAAAGCCCACGGAGGTAGATGGAGAGATCAAGGTCCACATTCTGAATTACTTTTGTCATTATTATTTTTTGCCACGCTAACAGAAATAGGTACCTACCATTCTTTCCCATTTAGGCAGCGGAGGATCTATTTTCTTGGTGATGATAGCGCTAATGTGTGTTGAACATCAAATGGCAACAGCACGCTCGCTTGCTCTATGCTTGAATGGAATAGCCGGAGACGATAAGATAAAACGCGCAAGAAAAGTGCTGCGAGCATGTTTAGATCAAACTAGACTCGCTACCCGTTGTTCAGTGACAATGCATGCCATCGAATCTTGCTCATATTTAGACAGCGAAGCGCACCGATTCCATTGTTATTAGCGCACCTTCAAGTTATTACATGCAACATTATCCGTTATAGGACTCTAGCTCAAACTGCTCTGTCGTTGTTCTACCCGAGCGATTCCTGGTGCAGTGCTGGTGCAGTGGTCCTAAATAGTGCGTCATTGGCGCGTATACTCAACCACCCATGCTGTGCTACCATGCGGTTTTGAACGTTATAGCGGTCTGGCATATGGCACCGACGCGATAATATGCCGACCTAAAGCCCTTGCATGAATGCATGTTGCTCTGAAAATCCATGCGTTGATGCTCACTGCTCATGTCGAAGGCACTCCGTAACTCCAAGCACCATAGCAACCCGATAATTACCCATCCGAGAACTCGTCGAGCTGCGGTTGTCGCTGTCATAAGCGACCACTTTGAGCAGGCAGGCGGAAAACAGCGTGAGCATTCGGCTTGCACACATCAGTGCTTGAGTTGAAGTGTTTCGGTGCAACGGGAACATATCTGGTCGAACACCTGGCTGAACGGACGTTGGAAATAATGGGCAAAGCTTCGATGTTTCTCCTCGGGCATTGTTCCATGTCTCATTCTGTAACTGTAGAATGTTCAATCGCTGGGATTTTCCGCGGCGGAAGGTAATTCAGCCATCTGTCGCCTATCCCACCACTGACATCGCCTCTCTAACCTCTCTACCGTCGGACGTCAGCTAAATGGTTTGCGGTGAACTGACGTAATCCGACTCGACCTGACCTGACATGTCCCGATCAGATTCGCCCTAACCCGACGTAAACCTCATTGCCCTGACCTGACCTAATCAGATGCGACTCGATCTGACCTGTCATGTCTGTCTGACTTGAGGTCTGTCTACCTGACCTGACCGGACCCTGTGTCGTCTTCTACACAGGCGTCGGAGGCGGAGCGGATCGTGTTCGAACTGCTGCGGGGCTTGCACGCGCCCGGTCTGGGCGTGCTGTTCTTCCATGGTCGCCATTACGCGGGTCGCACGGCCAAGCACACCTCGGGCAGCAACCTCATCACCCGAGAGCACGACTACGTGGTGCTGGTGCGCTACCACGGTGAGTGCGGGACACGGGTGCTACTGGGTACTTGGGTGGTACCGTGGTGAATACGTACCACCCGGTGCGGTGATGGGTACTGGGGTGGTACCGGGATGAGTACGCGGTACGGGGACCGGGCGATACGGCATGGGGTGGGGGTATAGAAGTATTCAGCGGCTACGATTGACTCATTCTCAAATCTCAATGCCTTAAATGTTGGGACGGGGTGGGTACTCTAAATACCTTACAAGTTTATGTCTTTGTATGTTCTCTCACCATGTTAAAGATAAAGACAATAAAAATGCAAACAAAGGATGAACAGCGTAGTCAGTGCTAACGTATTGAAAGCTGTCGATTTGTTTCGCTGATGACTGCTCTGTAGTCTGTGCGCCATAAAATACAAATGTGTCGGCTTTGTCCGCCGCTCTGTATGCTAATGCATGTAGATCTGGGACGATGCGGATGCTCAGGTACCTTTGGTATTTAATGTACCGTGGTTAATACGTACAGGGGCTAGGTTGTGGGTTCTGAGTCCGACGACCTGGCTACGCTGCAGTCCAACTCCAGCAAACAAACTGTTACCAAATATAAATTATTTCACGGTGATATAGGCTCGCAGGCGTGGCCGTCAGGGTCTTTGTGTTATTGCTACTATTAATTTATTGCTTCTTTATTTCTTGAACATTACGTTCTTTATATATTCTGCTCTGAGCTTTTTAAAGTATTGTTATTTATTTCTCTCTCACGGCGCGTGGTGCTGCAAGTTTAATTGAAATATGTATTTATTTATTCCTCACGGCGTACGGTGCGGAAGGCTCTGCATGCATTCTTCGACCCCATTGTCTCTCTGTAATTGCCACTGCCTATTTATACATTTCTTTTTTATTTAATGATTAATCACCGCTTTTTATTGCTTTTTCATTCGAGATAGTTTCGTTATTTATTTCCTCTGTCGCTGATCTGGTTTTTATTTGTGAGTTTCATTATTTGTCGGCCATGCGGCGCGCCTGCCGTGTACGCTGCGCTGTAACGCGACCGGGCCGACCGGGCTGAGAACCGTGCGGCTGGCACCCTTCCGTCGGGCAGCGCCCCCAGAATAGAGCCGACCCAACCGCGCGCCCTTCACTGGCACACTGTGTACGCCAGAGTCAATTATTTCTTAATATAATAAATAAAAGCTGGTAAATGATGGCATCAGCTAGTCTACGCCGGCCAGCACTAACAACCAGTTTGTGCCGGTTTTATCGCCATGAGTTGACATGAGCTGGAGGCAAAGCTAACTTGGTAGTTGGATATCAGTGTGGAATCTTAGAAGCGCCCAGAACGGTGGCGTGTGTAAATTGGTGTAATGCCATATCTTTCAGTGCACTGCATATGCTTTAGCTTAAAATTTAAAGCAATTATCACATAACTACCTGTAAATGACGTCGCGTTAGTACCAAGTACATGACTGGTCAGGCCATGCAACAACAATGTCCTTTGATGAGATCGGAAAACCCTTCCCTCACGAAGCTCGACACAGGTCCAACTCAGCTCTGACATGATATCACGGCTGGATTTCGCCACTAGGCGCTGATAAGGAAATAAATAAAGAAATGAATATGTTGATAGATAAATGTATAGATAAATGAATAACTTGATAATTATTAGATATAGAAATAAATAAATAAAGGTTGGCTGTTTTGGGCCTACTAGTTAGCAACGTGCCATCATTTCCCTCGGTTCGCTCCCCACCATCAGCCGTCGGGTTACCTGGGCTTATCTGACCCCCCCCCCCCCCCCTACAGACCGGCACTTTATCCTGCTGGCCGAGGTGAAGTCCACGTCGGACTCGCAGTCGGAGATGCTGAAGACGTCCAACGCGCGTGAGGTCAAGGACCAGAAGCGGTCGGCGCTGAACCAGCTGCGCCGGCACCGTGAGGTGCTCGCCCAGCAGCTCAATATCGGTGAGACGCCACGCGCCGCGGCGGCACGCGGCCGCCGGCACCACCGCTCACCCGGGGATCAACGTGTAGTGGGATTATGTCGCGGTTAGTTGGACCGTAGGCGTATTTTCAGAATCGCGGCTCCGATCGATGTAGTCACGGATTGTTGTTCCGTATCTGATTTCTGAGACGCGGAACGTGACGGCGATTCGCCAAAGAGCGAAATCCGCTTGTGACGAGGTCATATTACATATGTGACAATGTGACATATGACGGAAAGGCGGGGTAAAGCCCAACGCTGCAAATAGGACGAGCGGTGATGACTGTGGAAGGTGTATCTCCAGCAATCCTATGTTTGTGTATGGTTTTGGGGACATTAAAACGTGCGCGTGCGTTCAATACAAATCACATTTTTCCGTATTGTGACGTCAACCACTGTTCTAGTTTATTTCCAGATTTGCTCAACTGACGTTACCGCTACCGCGGTAACTCAGACTGTGCCCTGACTGTGACCCTGCCGTCTCCCTGCAGGTGAGGAGTGCATCCCCGGCTTCATCCTGTGGCCTTTCCTGTGCGGTCGCTCGGTGGACGTGCGCACCAACCAGACCAACGCGCGCTGGCAGGCCGAGGACTTCCACCTGTTCTGCGACACACTGGCCTCGGGCGAGCTGTTCAACCGCTGGTTCGTGCAGCGACTCGCCTGCACTCCCGACCTGCCGCTGGCCGACTGGAACAAACTACTCCACAGGTGAGACGGTGGAAACAGAGGGAAATGCTGCACAGGTGACACGAACGATATGGTTGTAAACTACCTTCACATGTTAAGCGGACAAAGTGGAGCAAGCTGCTCTACAGGTGATACAGAATCTGTAGATGAAACTATCCCACAGGCGAGCTAGGTCTACAGCAGCAAACTGCTTCATAGTCTGGTAGAAATAACTAACAATCTGCTCCACAGGTGGAAGTGACCGCAGGGCTCTGTATCTCGACTGCATGTCTCGACTGTATGTCTCGCTATGTTTGGCACCGCCGTATGTCTCGATGTCTGACGTGTTCAAGTGTTATTTATATTGCCGTATTTATTTGTGTTAACTGAGCGCGAGGCAGCCAGACCGGGCCGCTGAGCTATGCCGCCGGCCGGCAGGTTCCTGCTGCTGTCCTGCGGCGCCTCTGTCCGGGAGCTGGGCGGCGAGCTCGACTTTGCCATGAGCCAGGACATGGACCGCACGGTGGCTCTGCTCTCTGTGGTAAGGGGCGCGCCGCCGTCACCGTGGCTCTGCTCTCTGTGGTAAGGGGCGCGCCGCCGTCACCGTGGCTCTGCTCTCTGTGGTAAGGGGCGCGCCGCCGTCACCGTGGCTCTGCTCTCTGTGGTAAGGGGCGCGCCGCCGTCACCGTGGCTCTGCTCTCTGTGGTAAGGGGCGCGCCGCCGTCACCGTGGCTCTTCTCTCTGTGGTAAGGGGCGCGCCGCCGTCACCGTGGCTCTGCTCTCTGTGGTAAGGGGCGCGCCGCCGTCACCCAGGCCGGGCCCTCGGCTGAATTTCATGGGCCCCGGTTTTCCCAGAACGTTTCCAAACTCGGCGGGTGATAAGTTGTGTACTTTTATGAGTTATGGCGCTCGTGGTTATTTAACGTTGGAAATTAAACCTGAGCGAAGCGTGTTACGCCCACCGGTTTATTTAGGGCAAACCGGTTTTCCCGCAGCGCAAGTGGTTTGGCCGTTGCCCTCATCGCGTGGCCGGAGACGTTTAAGTCACTATAAAAAAGTCGTTTACCAAGTACCTGTTCTATTTTTAATGCACGGTCTCCTCTGCAAAATATCCGACCTTCGCTCAGCCTCAGCGTGAACGTATGCTGTGTTATATAAGCTACCGGTCTAGGGAAGTATCCATCAACTTGGACAATCACCACGTCCCAGACCGGCAGTTCCGCGTTGAACATTTTTTTCCAAAGCATAATAACGTATCGCTTTTATTGTACCGGTGAATATCTACCCAAAGTACAAAAATAGGGCACCAAAATGATTGATTATTGAGACAGAACGATATTTTGTTCTAATGCATTGTTCTTTTGGTTTGCAGACGTGCACAATTTCAAAATTTCGAGCACAATATGTTAAAAGTAACGATGCAAAAGCGTTTGATTTGAGGCCATCAATGTGGTTCGCCATAGTCTCGCTCATTTGTACGATCATAAGCGAATACAGTTGGTGACATACCAGGGAAATAAGCTAAAATTAGAGCGCTCTATTAATTGCTCCTGCCCCATGTTGAAGAGATACCCCTAAAAGCGTGATCTTTTATCGGCCCTTACGCAGCAAGGCAGTACTTCTCAGACCGGTGGATGGTACCAATAGAAAGAGAATGCGTCAAAGATTAACATGAATAAATTAAAATAACATTAAAATGTTAATTAAGCGTAGAAACAAGTCCCAAACATAAGCTAATTATTGCTCCTACCTCGGCGACGGCGCTCCCCGCAGTCAGCGGAGAAGCTAAAATAAAAGCCACCATCCTCCTCCGTAAGTCAATTTTAGAGCGGCCGAGTGGACCGATGCGGGGCCACCAAACTGAGATAAGACGTGGCTAGCAATTGCAAACCGCCATAGAAATCAATATCTTAAGACGTACAATATGGGATGATTACTCTGAAGCTGGAGTGAAAGCATGAGTAGATTGCAAGAAACGAAATGCATAGATTAGTTGAATTATGTACGATAGGCACAGCTCAATAGATGAAGCCATTTCTATGATGTTGACATTTGACATAACCCTTCCTCTCCTCACCTTAGTAAGTGCATTGGCAGTTGCCGGCATAGTTTTTGAGCACGAGTGTAATTCGCCATCGGACCGCAATGCATGTTGCTAGGCGGCTGCATTTGCAACGAACATACGAATACTGCCTTCTTTTGTAGAGTTTGTTTTTTAGGCGATCTTTGACGTAGAAGGGGCATACCTGTCGACAACTTGAGTTTCTCCGAATTTCAAAAACTCCCAGAATTTCAATTCCTTATGCACTGTTGTAGGTACAGCTATGTTCACAAGTTTTCGTTTCCTCCTGTTCTAAAAAGGATGATATTTGTCGATTTCGTGCGTCGCTGATAGGAGGGTGCGTTTAATAATTAGGCCCAACGCTTTCTGCATCCGCGAGTACCTTCAAAAGGGAACAACAGTTTCCATTTATTACACTATGGGACATGTGACAAAATGACCACTGGAACACGCATGAAACGGAGCTCATATTCCTAAAAATGTCTACAAGCACTTCTTTTCTGACACTATTAGCAAATACCATCTCAAGTTAGGTGGTTGACAGACAGTCAATGGAGATCTGGGGAGACTGAGTGATGCCAATTCACCACTTAACTGATAATGAGGGCCGAGGGGAAAGAAACATGCAACATGCACAACTGACAACTTGACAAGTGATAAAACACTACCACTATTGCGCAGTGCACAACAAATTACAGCAGCCAGCCCAAAAATACTTTTGGTGACTACTGGCTAATTGCAAAACAAGTCACTAATAAATGTCTTAGTTGCAGCTGAACACTGCACAATGATCACACTGTTCACGCATTGAGTGAGATGCCACAGGTGGTTTGAATCACACTTTGGTACAACTGCAAATCTGAAGTGTTGTCATGAGGTTCATGCCTCCATGATCACTTTGGTTGTGGTTGGCATAACACTTGTAGTCTGCAGAGTTCCACATGAACTGCAGACACCTCATCTGGTGGTCTTCATGTTGCTCAACTTCTTCAGGAGGCAAATGTCGACCACCCAGCGGAAGCATGGTCCTGCAGAAAAGAAAGGTAATGCATAAGGTACAAACATTATCTGCTGAAACAGCCCCTTCTGTTGCCTGTTATTAAACTTTTAACATAACCTAACAACATGTATTCCATGTATATTACATTTGTTGAAGTAAAATACTGCCGGCTATTTCAAAACCAGAAAATGAAATTATATTGAGGCATAATTCACATGCTCGGCTATCAGTATCAAATAATAAATTAATTTAAAATTTGGCATATTCTATAAAACACTCATAGAATATTCTACTTCACATCACAAGGACAATCTTTGTTGGGTGTTTGATTGACGCATTGGCTAAGTTTGTCTTAGGTTTTATTATTGCAAAAAATTCATATTGCATTATTGTATCAAAATACTGCCAGCAATAACAAAACAAGAACATGAAATGTCAATGAGCAACCCGCCTTTCCTAAAAATGGGTTACTTTGAAAAGAATTTTAGTTTCTTTTAAGGAAAAGGAGAAATGCTTATCAGGTAATTATCAAAAAACCACTCAACCAGCAAGTGGCTGGGTGGTTTCACAGCAAACATCAAGCCAAAACATATATTTACATTTATCTAACAATTGAGCCATTTGACTACTACCAGGATATGTGAGCAAAATAAGCATCCAATTATCCAATGTTGACTTACTTGCAAAGTTTATGCCTTATGTTATGAAAATGTGTCACTAGAATATGATACTTATCATCGAATATTATTTAATTTACGATTTATTTCGATCGAAACGCACATGGAGTTCCGCGCCATTTTCGTCGACGATGAATATGATCGTGTTTCAAGAAGAGATAAGGGGTTTCAATGGTCTTTCAAAGCAATAATTTGATGCAAAATTTGGTAGGAAATAATATAAAGCTCGTTCAAATGGCCATCAACCATTTAAAACACCGAAAATACTCACAACTCCGTCCCAACGACCACGCAGCACCGCGCACGCCACACAACTGGCACAATGCCAAAACTGCTGTCACAGCAGAAATGTTTTTTTTTTCTCGATTGCAATTGTGGAATTATTTATTAAACAGAAGATGATCTTTCCGAAAAAGAGACTGATTTTATACACAGTTGCATGGAAAATAAAAAAATCCCGGTAAGTTTATTTGTATTGTTTTGTCGATTTTGACATGCTCCTAGTTTGCAGCCATATTTCGATAAGTTCTACAGGGAGTTCAAAATTATTTCAGGACCAATCTTTTCCTCGTTCATTTTCCCGTCGATCATGAAATTTTTAGAGCGGAACAATTAGTTTCCAGGCGGTCCGAGCGGTTTTCGTGAGAAGGGTGCAAAAATCGGCGTCATTTTTAGAGCTTCGACACCAGCTCAACACAGGACCCTATGGGAGACGGTGAAGTAGCGGAAGCAATAAATAGAGCGCTCTAATTTTAGCTTATTTCCCTGGTGTGTCACCGACTGAATAGCGATCATACACGGAACAATATCCATCCATTATCCAACTATAACTATCCAACTATAAACAACCGCTTATAGTTGGATCCGCTATAGTTGGAACCGCTATCCAACTATAACCATCCATTATCCAACTATAAGCAACCGCTCACCACCCAGCTCGACAATGGACACGTCTTACACGAAGGGATTTTAAGCACGCGCTGCTAGCTGCTAGTCACCCGGTGTTTAACCTTGGACTGCCGCTGTCTGGTGAGCGGATGGTGGGTGGACCGTTACGTTCGGCGGTATTCAGGCTCGCGGCAGTAACCAGCTAATTACGACACTAACGAGCGAGAATTAACGGGGAATGCCGGTGTAAGGTGAGTCGGGGTGTCCACTCATTTGGAACTACGGTGGCGACTCGGAGGACGCCGCAAACGTGCCGCAGAAATATTAGTGATGGCTTTTATTTTGATGCATTGCGATAACGTCGCCTTTAGGCCATTCGGACTGTTTGTACATTTTCCCCCTGGGAAGTACCGAATTCTATCTCAGGTATATTCATCTCCATTGTCATTCGACCGGCCCTTACTCACCTGAGCTGAGCTGTCACCCTCCCCTTCTCTCCCACCTGAGCTGAGCTGTCACCCTCCCCTGCTCTCCCACCTGAGCTGAGCTGTCACCTCCTGCTCTCCACAGACGCAGCACCGGCTGCTCCACTCGGGCCCCCAGCCGCTGGAGCCGGGCACCGTACACCCGCTGGTCATACAGGGCGCCGCCGGCACCGGCAAGACGCTCATCATGATGAAGAAGATCGAGATGTTGCACAATATGGTGAGTCAGCTGGAGAGAATGACGGTCAGAGGCGGCAGAGTGGATGAGTGCTTAGGATATTGGTTCGCCAGACTCTAACTATCTCTGAAGGACTTATTTATGTACACTGTCCCTTGTTTGTGTAGCTGTAACTGTCAAAATAGTATAGCCTTTGGCATGCCGTAGAAGAGCGTAGGCACGGTTATAGCTATTGGGCGCGGGGCGTATTGTGGACATGTAACGTGGACGGAGCTCACAAATGCCACGTCTGAAGTGTTGATAGCTCGTGTTTATACAGCTATCACTATCACTCAGTACACTAGGACGAGTTTTATTTCCTGCCGTACTTTGTAACCCCACGTTCTCAGCTAATCTCTTATCTGAATATGGCACTCACCCCACGTATTTGTGTGGTATCTGATCTGACTTCCTTGTTTCAATCCATGTTACCGTTATATGGCAGGGATTAAGTGTGGCTCTCATACGTCCTTTCACCCTCTATGAGAGGGACCCTCTGACCCTCCCCTCTCTTCTGTGTCCGTCAGGGCCAGCTGGGCCCGGACAGCCAGGCGCTGTTCCTGTGCTACTGGCCCGGTATTCGAATGGAGGTGGTGCAGCGACTGCAGCGGCTGGGCATTGAGCACGTCGTCACTCAGAGGATTAGCATCAGCAACGACTGGTTCGTGCGCTGGTGCCGCCAGCAGAGCGCAGGGTTCCGGCACGTGTTTGTGGACGAGCTGGAGAGCGTGCTCATCTCACCGCTCTGCGCGCAGATCGTGGACGAGATCGCCGCGCTCTATGTGCGGGGAAACGCGGCTGTGCGGCGCGCCAGCACTGGCAGCGAGCCGGGCCGAGTGAACGGTATGGGACACCCGCTGAACGGCGGCGGAGAGGGCAGTGGGGACAGCGGCGACGACGGCCGGGTGCGGGGCGGGCGGGACGCGGCGCCGGAGCCCGCGCCGGCCGACACGCCGGAGCCGATGGAGCTGGACGCCGGCTGCTGCGGCACGTGCCACACGATCCGACAGCGCACGGACGCGGCGGCGGCGGCGGCGGGCGGCGGCGGCGGCGCGCCCGGCTCCGGCGGCGCCGTGGACCTGGCGCTGGGCCACTTCTGGGTGTCGGTGGACGAGAACCAGCGCACGGTGCCGGCCGTGTTCCGTTCGGTGTGCATCCCTCCCGAGCCGCACCTGCGCCTCACCAGTGTCTACCGCAGCACGCGCAACGTGTTCAACCTGTTCAGGAGCCTGTGCGACTGCGCCGCCGACCTGAGCGTAGCACACGCGGTGGACGGTCCGCCAGTGTTCTGGGTGGACCTGGCCCAGTTCACTGACAACACGGCCGCCGTCGCCGCGCTCGTGGTCGACCTCACCGGCGCCAAGGGCTTTCAGCCGTGCGACATCTGCGTGATGCCGTTCTTCGACGACAACAGCGTGGACGTGGAGGCGCTGAACGGGCGGCTGCGCGCCGGCTACCAGCCCGGCAGTCTGGTACCGCAGGCGGTGCGCGGTGTGGAGGCGCTGCTCGAGGCGCGCGACCGCTCCCTCTTCTGCGTCACCTGGCTGCTGCGCATGAAGGGCCTCGAGTGCCCGGTGGTGGTGCTTGTGCTACCCGCCGAGGACGTGGACGTGACGGACGTGCTGGACCAGCGCAAGCTGTACACGATGATGTCGCGCTGCACGTGCCTGCTGCTGCTGCTGAGCCACCGCGAGGTGGTGTCCCAGCTGGACCCCAGCGGCCGCGTGCGCCAGTACTGTTTCAGCGAGGTGACGCTGTGCGGGGCGGCCGACGCGCCCAGCTGATAGTCGGCTGCGCGCCGTGACGGTGCTACTGTCCGTGACGCGCCCGCGTGACCGCCGTGACGCGCCCGTGTGACCGCCTTGATGTTTCGTTGGGGACGCAGTGGCCAGGGCCGGCCGGTAACCGATCTATGCCTTTCCTGTCGCGGTGTATGAACAGGGACGATGTCTTGCCTTGAGAACCCTGCAGGCTTACGAAGTAGCCATTTTATGCGAAAACTGGACGGATAGTGTTGACCCGTTTTCAGATTTTGTGATATTAGCGCCGTTGTTTTTATTATGCATGCCGGTGTCTGATGCAGCCTTGTGTTACGCCGTAGTGAGCCATGTTTGTGTTTTACGCGCGCGCGTGCGTTGGACGCGCCTTATTGGGCGTCTGTATGTGATGAACCACGGCTGGGAGCAAGGGCATGACTGCGGGAAGGGAGGGGGTGCTCGGGGAGTTCCTACAACGTTTTACCTGTGGACGACTGTTTTCGGCGCGGCCTGGGAGCGGCCGCGTCTCCCGTGTACACCCGCCCTGCACGCGGGAGTGCTAGTAATTTGTCAGCTGTGCCTCGACGCGGCCCTCCGGCCCGCCCGGTCTGTTTTTAGACATGTCGACTCTATTGTGCGGCCAAATCTCCGGAACGAGGCGGGTGCGACGGCGGGCGGCCGTCGCCGGCCGCGTGTCCGCTGCAATACAGGCTGTTTGGAAGTGGAGCGGACAGCGCGGTGTTTGCCGTACACCGGCTGAGTGGGGCGTGAGGTGAACGCGGAGGGTGCGGTTGTACATAAGCCGGTTACTCATATCCGGCTTATGTTGTTCCAGAGGTCTCCTAAACTCTCCTTCTTAGATTGGTACACGGATCACAACGCACGTGTCGGCAAGAATTGACACCCCGCTCAACACATGTGGGTTATGGCCGTCATGGGCCGATTACTTGTAGCATCTATCATTACTTTTGACGCAACACGCGTACCAAACCGGACCTTTGACTCCTCGGGCACCCTCATGGAACGGAGTCCGTCTGTTGCTGGAAAGCATTATCAATGCCGGATCTGGTGTGAATGAGCTCAGCCGAGTGTGAATTCAGAGTGCGATTGGGTTCAGGATTCGATGAATGACATGCGAGCGGTACACGATATACAGGCAGCAATAGCCGTCCGAAGAACTGCCAGTTACAAGGATTTACCTACTTCCCTCATCATCATCATCATCATGTATTTCGGACAACATCCATAAAATGGTTTTTCAGCAATCCACGTCATCCGACAATAAAAGCGACAATGAAAGACACACAGATACACACACAGAAACACGTACCTAGCATGACAGTAATCACAAACAAGTGCATCAACCTAAGTGCGCAATCGACATACCTTTCTTAAAAGCAGTCATATTTGGTGATGCTCTGATCTCGGGGGTCAGGCAATTCCACGCTCTCACCGCCCGGTGGTAAAAAGAGCGTCTGGCAAGCTCGGTGCGTCCCTTTGTCTGGCATATCGCAGACTCAACCACATTCTCAGTTACAAAAACGGGATGACTACCTACTCGGCTGAGAGCTGAAATATTTTACAAATTGGGACGTTCCTTACAAAACCACGCGAGGGTTGGTCAACGTTGAGAGCTGCGACTAATAGTCGTAAAATAGGTTCTGTAGGTTCATTGTGACAGGGATGCTTTCCTCACCTGAGCGGATGCACATAACAAAACAGCTTTCCGATCACCACTGTATTCAACGTGTCACTGGGCTATAATGCTCAACTGTGGGCTCGCAAGGAACGACGCACTGGCGGGTGTGATAAACTGTCGCTCATGGCGCGACAAAATCACACAGGCTTTGCTGGTATGTCAGTGTCGCAACACGGATGACATGGACAACACATGACAGCTGTGACCTCCGGCGAAGCGGCTGTGGAAATTGCTGGGGTATCACAGATCCCGCCATCCGCCCTTCGGTCCAATGCATAGTTGATGACTTTTTACAAAATCATACAATAAGAAGAGACAATCATATAAAGCTTCTGGTCAACGAACAGTGAGGCATTGTGCACTCTGGCCTTACTGTGATACCCTATCACGTTGAGGAAACAGCACTGACCTCTCGACCTGTCAGTCTTCTCCGCACGGGTCACATGAAACCACATGCAGTATAAACACCAGTGAACTCGCCACACCGAGCCAGAAGCACACAATACAAAATCACCTGCGACCGTCGCAGCACTCGTAACAAGGAAAGCCCTGCCGTCTGGACTGCCGGAGCCCCGGTGGCCCCCACGTGTCACTACCGGCGACTCCGTGCCATCATACACACAGAAACACCGTAACAGGTACTGACCCACCCGGGACGGTCAACGAAACGTACGTTTGAAGAATATGTGCCCATTCCATCTTCTGTCGTGGACCCAATGACACACAATACCTGTTCCTTCATCTGAATCAGTCCCTTCGGTTCGAACTGAGACAGCCTAACGCTCCTGAACGTAACAATTTCTTGGTTATTCGCAGCTCATATGACGCATTTGCCTCTGCCTCAAGAACGCGTTCTAGCACTTAGAGTCCACACGTTGGTCTTTTCCGCTCTCGCTTGTCCTGTGGCTCCCCTCTGTGCTCCAAATCCCCCCGTCCACCAGTCCATCTCCTGGCCCGTAAACACAGCACCCCTCTGTCCCCCCCCCCCCCGGCCGGCCCTACTCCAGGTCCCCGAGCTCGCCGTTGACCTGTGCCGACACCGACGGCTCGACCACGTTCAGCCAGAGGTCGTACTGCTGGTCCAGGCCCAGGTAGCTGTCTGACAGCAGGTACAGCGTGTAGATATGCCGGCCAGTCTCGGCCGGCGTCCGGAACGCCAGCGGCGCGGCGCACCGTCCGCGGCCGGCGCCCACCCGCTTCAGCGCCAGCAGCTCGCCCGAGTCAGCCTCGCCGAGCACCAGCACCCAGCCCTCGTCCTTAGGCTTGGGGAAGCAGGGCGCGTGAGCCAGCGCCCGGCCCTCCTGGAACGGTACAGAGGGACGGGTGAGAGGGGAGGAGGTGAAAAACGGGACACCGAGTGGTATTGATCGACTCACCTCACCGACAAGACCGCATATGATCAGGGAACTACAATCAGGATTATTATCTGAAGCCCACTAACAGGGAATCATCTGCTATGGCTTGCCAGCAAGCCTTATAAAAAACAGATACCGTGTATCAACAAGACTAGAATAGTATAGTTGCGTCACAGTTATATTAAACCAATTAATTTATGCCACAGACAGCGACCAAAGAACGCTAACAGAGCGCGCTCAATATCAAAATCAGGAGAGGTGTGACGCACGATTAGCTCACGTTCCTTACAACGTGCTGCCGGCCCCGTCCCCGCCGGGAACCCCGGGCCGCCGGGCTGTCTGCGGGCGTCACTGACCTTTGGAGGCGGGTTGAGTCTGCGCAGCTCCACCTGGAGCGTGTACTCCTGGTCAGCGTGCAGGTCCAGCCAGGTGGGCTGTGCCGGCTGCTGGCGGCACGCGATAGGACGCCGCTCGGCCGAGGCAGACGCCTCCCACCAGCCCTCGACGGCCACCGACAGACGCATCCGGGGCAGACGGCGCAGAGCGTCGTTCATCTGAAAGAGGATAAGAGATGTTAGACAATCCGCATACCATACTTCAGACAGGCAGGCACACTTTCATATGCATTGGATAAGTCTGGCAAATTTTAGTAGAAATCGTTTCATATGTGCAATTTCTGTTTATTTTTCGACGGAGTTCGTAAGAGCCACCACGTGGAAGAATTCTATTAAACGACTACGCCTATGACTACGGCGCAGATAAAATCTCTCCAGTACTCCAGTCATCAGACAGTCATGCCTTGTCACGGCCGTCGGATCCGGCACCCACCTCCTGTAGCTGCCAGCCGTCCATGTGTTGCGCCAGTCTCTCCTGGACGGCGCTGAACGCCTTCCGGTCGCCGCCGCCGCCGGCCGCCTCCACCAGGCGCGGTAGACAGTCGAGCCGGCCAAGCAGGCGCAGCTGGCCGCTCTCCAGGTGCGGCAGCGTTAGAAGGGGCGAGTCGGTCACCCACCGCGCCTGGATCAGCTGCAGAGAACAGACGCCGGTGCGGTCAGCTGACATGCATGTAGTCCGGAGGGGGGGGGGGGGGAATCAAACCACTGCAGCAGTCCGAGACACATTTCCGTATCACTGCATCATGCAAAGTATGTAGTAACACAACTAGAACATTTTTGCGATATTCTGCTAAGGTTGACGATTGTCTGCCTTTCGCATTGTTCACATAATTGGTGTGAGCATCAGCGGCAGTCACATCATCACGCTAGACGCCGATCGGTCAACGCTATACGCCGATCGGTCAGTCATTCGGCTCGCCCATTCGATAGGCTGCTGACCTGCCAATTCCTTCCGTCACGGCCCTACCCACCTACCCACCGCCTACCCACTTGCCCGCCCGCCCATTATCCCCGCACCTGTTGCTGCAGCTGGACGGCCCTGATGGTGGTGGCCAGCCAGCCCGACTCGGCCACCAGATCCAGCAGCGCCTGGCACACGCGGATCGCCTGGTCCAGCACCGACTTCTGGTCAGTCACGTAGTCGGCGATGGGCAGCCGGAGACGCGAGAAGTGCGCCTGGAACAGCAGGTGCGTCTTGACGTGCGGAGAGTCGTAGCTGTACTTGTCCACCGGCACCGGGCACTGGGCCGCCAGCTCACTGCGGACAGACAGGGAGGGAGATGTTACCACCGGGCACTGGGCCGCCAGCTCACTGCGGGCAGACAGGGAGAGAGATATTACCACCGGGCACTGGGCCGCCAGCTCACTGCGGGCAGACAGGGAGAGAGATATTACCACCGGGCACTGGGCCGCCAGCTCACTGCAGGCAGACAGGGAGAGAGATATTACCACCGGGCACTGGGCCGCCAGCTCACTGCGGACAGACAGGGAGGGAGATGTTACCACCGGGCACTGGGCCGCCAGCTCACTGCGGGCAGACAGGGAGGGAGATGTTACCACCGGGCACTGGGCCGCCAGCTCACTGCGGGCAGACAGGGAGGGAGATGTTACCACCGGGCACTGGGCCGCCAGCTCACTGCGGACAGACAGGGAGGGAGATGTTACCACCGGGCACTGGGTCACCAGCTCACTGCGGGACAGACAAAACCGGGGCTATGTTACTTCGAGGCACTGGGCCGCCAGCTCACTGCGGACAGACAGGGAGAGAGATATTACCACCGGGCACTGGGCCGCCAGCTCACTGCGGGCAGACAGGGAGAGAGATGTTACCACCGGGCACTGAGCTGCCAGCTCACTGCGGGCAGACAGGGACATGATATGTTATCACTGGACAACGGACATGGCAGGGCCAGGATCGGCAATACGTTACTTCGAGACGCTGGGCCGCCAACTCACTGCAGGGGTAGTCAGGAGAAATGTCAGACGGACAATGAGAGCTGACTTGAGGGGCCATTCAAGAATTCCATCTATCCAGGAAATTCGCTGCTGCTGAGATACCGCGACACAATAAGGCATATCACTCACTGAGTTTACCCTTGCCTATGAGTCTCACCTCAACTATGTATTTCCTGCCACCCGCCGCCCCCAGACACATCCCACAGCCGATACCACACACATCTCCGGTACCAAATATCCCCACCCATCTCCACCAGTCCCACCGACTAACCCGTTGGTGATGTCCTCGTTGTGTCGGACCGGAATCTCGTCATACTCGTAGGCGTCC